GGGGGGGGGGGGGGGGGGGGGGGGGTGGCATACAGCACCCATAATTAAAACACAAAACATTGGCGTTGTCACTTGGTTGCTAACCAAAACAGTAGCACCTAGTGAGGCAACGTAAAGAGTCCCTTGGTGTCTTGTAAATGTATTCCACATGTGGGATTAAAGATGATCTTATGTGTGGGCATTAAATCAGCAAATGACTTCCCTTGCGGTACTCAAGATGATTTTGCATCAAACGTCATCCTGTACTGGAAGGCTTGGTTGCTAAAACTAACTAAAACAGCATGTACAGCATGTAACAAAACTCAAGATGTAGTTGCACAATGATGTGGGTGTCCGTGTTTATGTACTGCGGAGCAGACCACGGACTGATTTAAACTCCACGTTCACGTGGACTGCTGACATCGTTTCTTTTTTTCCCAGCAAACAGAGGCCTGCCCTGTCAGTGGTTGAGCAAATGTGAATTCACAACGAGCGAGTACTGACGTGAAAGCCGGTTGGCTGCCGTCCAGCCAGCGCCACACGTTCTCCTCTGCCTGGTCGGTCAGACCCATCCAGAAGTAGCCCTTGCCGCTCGTCTGCTTCTGCAGCCATTCCTGAACACAAAACAACAATCTCACCATAAACCTTGACCAGACCAGTGTTCATTTTTTTTTTCGTGAGTGAATGGGACTCACCTGTTGGTCCATGTCGTGGATGATCAACAACGAAGACGAGCTTCGTTCACAAGCGGCCTTTGCTTCATCAAAGCTGCGCGAGTCTTTGGAGAACAAGTAGCACTTGTTCCTGTAATGAAGCCATTCGGGTGGACAACCTGTCGAGCAACCAATCATATCGTTGCATCAATCCAATATGGTGAAATTCAGCTTGTCGTTCACACCCGTGCTACGATGCAGATTTTTCAGAAATCATTTTGTTAGGATTTGTTACAGTACACAGGCAAGGCCGAATTGATTTGTGCGCCTCCAGTGTAGTACCACGACTAGCCTGTGGTACGATAAATGATGGTTGTCTTGTGCGAGGTCGTACCTGGAGCCCCCAGTGTCAGAGGGACTGCCTCATCTTGGAGTGACACTGGGCTCAAGGGGATGGGGACCCCCGATGGTCCAGGTGGTCCCACAGGCCCCGGAGGCCCAACTGGTCCCTGCAGTCCCCTCGGCCCCTGCTCTCCAGCCGGCCCTATTGGACCCCGGATGCCTGGGGGCCCCTGCGCCCCCTGAGGACCAGGCTGGCCATCTCTACCTGGCAGACCGGCGGTGCCCGGCTCGCCTTTACTTCCAGGAGGTCCAGCCCTTCCACCGGAACCCCTGGGACCCTTAGACCCTGGGTTGCCTGGGACACCCGGAAGGCCCCTTAAGCCTGGAAGACCTGGCGGGCCCGGAATACCTTGCTCTCCTCTTGGCCCTCTTATCCCCGAGGCACCTTTGTCCCCTTTCTCTCCCTTCTGACCTGATTGACCAGTTGGTCCTGGAGGTCCTTTGTCGCCCCGTGGCCCTCTGGGACCAGGAGGACCTGAAAAATAAATGCAGTCCTTGTAAAGCAGTACACGGTTACACACTCGACTGGTCACTAGACAATCTCAAGGCACATGCAGACAGATGAGTATTCAGGCACGCATTCACATTTATGGATTTACAGTCTTCAATGACCATAACAATCGTGATTGGGAATGCATGAAGAAACCAGGGAAAAAAAAACGGTGAAGCATGTGGAGAACATAATAAAGTAAACACAGAAAGACCATAACTTTAAGTGTAACCCAACCCCCACAATTGTGCGATGGACGCCCCTGCTACGAAGCACAAGATGCTGCTTGAGAGTAATCCAATGAACAAAACAAACAAGGATATCACGTCTTACCCTGTAGAATAGTGAAATTCGTGATCAGCTGGGAGTGCTTGGTGTCCACCAGCTTCATCTCCTCCATGATGATGGAGAGGCTGGTGACCTCTTTATCCAAGCGTGCCGCCAAGTCCTCCTGCTGGGATCGCAGTCCGGACGCATCCGCCCTCATGTCGGCCACGCTGCCGTTGAGGCTCATCAGCAAGTCAGAGTGGCGACCGACTGTGTCGGAGCAACCGCGCAGGGCGTTGAGGTTGCGGTTGATGGCGCCCAGAAGCTGCGTGCTGAAGCTGACGTTGCCCGTCACGCGGTCCAGGCCCTGCTCCGATTCGTCTAGTCGCACCTCCAGACGCTCAAATTTAGACAACGTGAGATTGCTGAAGTCCCTCTGCTGGTCCAGGATCTCCTTCAGGGACTGGTCATGGGCGTCTGCCAAGTTGCTGGTGTTCTGCAATTGGCTGGAGACAAAGGCCAGCTGGGATCCGACCTCCTCCAGGCTGTCGTTGTTGGCTTTGGAGAGCACAGAGGCATTCGTTGCCAGAACCTGCAGGTTGTAGACTTTACTCCGAAGCCACTCGGTATCAGTGAGTGTCTGTCTGGTGGACTGCTCCAGACTTTGAAAGTCATTGCGAACTTTCTGGATGTTCTGACTGGTGTCATCCACCGAGCGGTGCAGAGCCTCGATAAGGCCGCGCTGCTGTGCCTGAGTGAGGTTCAGGCCGCCGATGCTCAGTAAGACTTGATTCTGGAGCTTCACTTGCTGCTGAAGCTCTCTCTGCAGCCGGGTCGTGTCGTCCTGCAGACCCCCGAGGACACCGCCGTAGGAGTGCAAGGTGCCGTTGACAAAATGCAAGGCGGCCGTGTTGCTGTCCAGAAGTTCCCGAATCGAGGCTTGATTGCTCTGGATTTCCGATCCGAGGTTTTGCAGTTGGCTCAGCTTGGCTTGATCACCGTGGAGGTGCTCCTCCATGGCGGACAGCTGCCTCTGGAGGGCCAACACCTTACTCTTGAAGGCATGGATGGCTGTGGTGGCGTTCTCGGACTTATCCCCACTCTGGTCATCTGATGAGAGACATTCCACTGATCATGCACACTGTGGCAGTTTTGTATGGGAAACGAATTGGTGAAGTTTCAGGATAAACCGAAATAAACCTAAAATGCACTGTGACCTTTTCTTGGGAACTTAAATGGACCTTTTTTTAAACCTGTCCAACTGTTTTGGTGATTCAGTAACTCTTGTACAACTCTCTATTCTTTCGTAAGGAGCCGAATGGCAAAATTCACGACAAATACAGCAGAACCTCAAAAGTCCAATACCCCTGAGGTTTAACCATTCAGAAATTTGACCAATTTTTGGTGAGCAAAAATGTGAGACAAAAAGGAGTTCAATCAGGCAAGACCCCAACATGCCACACTCAGTTTATCAAGATTTCAAGGATATTTTGCATTGATTTACAGTATGCTTCAAAACTAGATTTTAAAGAAGGGCTGCATGGCCACAGAGCAGGAAAAATGACAGAGAGCAGGCTGGAACATGTCAGATAAAGGAAAATACTAAAAAAAAAAAAAAAAAAAACTATATCATTACTTTGCAGGAATCAGTAATCAGTTCCACACAGATTATTACACTGGGAATTTTCTTGAGACATTCTTGAGACACTTACCGAGCTTTTTCAAGTCAGTCTCCACGGCGATAATCTTCCCCCCATAATTGGCAATGCCTTCAGAAACGCTGTCAACTCTTTGCACCACTGCACAAAAGACACAAGATGAAGGTTGGGCACGGCCGTTGCCTCGGTGTACTTTACTCTGGAGCCAGAATGGCCTCCAACCACAGACATCGTTTATGAAAAAAGGATCAGCAGAAACCATTCAAACTTTGGAACAAATCTCTGCACATTTCTCATAGCTATGCAATAACGGTGGAAAGTGATTAGGGTAACTCCCTGGATTGAGTCAAGCAACGTAAATAACACCGGCTTTAATTAGTTTTACTTTCAGAAAGAGATACAAAGGATCCTGCAAAGACGGCCTGGGGGGGTCAGTGACAGAGACTCGGGATGGAGGACCTTCCCCTGGGACAGGAGGTGACCTGGCAGGAGGGGTCTTTTAGTAAACAGTGGATGGAGGGATCAAAGAAGACCCAGGGGAGGCAGCCGCATGTTGCAGGGGAGGCTCTTCACGCCCCCACAGGCGACACTGGCGTTCATTTCCTCTGGAATGTGTCTGGGATTTCAAGGAGTCGGCCTACCACCAGCACCGGTCCTGCCAGGAGAAGGCACCCTTCAAAGTGGGGACCACTTTGGGTTTCTCTGCTGGGAAACTGGTGTCATTTGGGGAGATTGACAAACAGGACGAGACAAGAGATTACTCACAACTTAGCCTGGGAAATGTGGCTAATTAGTTTAGCTTCACGTTAGCTGATCATCCTGACCTTAGATTGACGGCATAAGAAATTTGGTGGAGATGATTTGTTACAAACCACAGCGAAAAAAAAAACAAAAAAACAACAGGCAATGCTGAGTTCTACCACCTTGTGAAGATATTCGCTACCTCTACCCATGTACAGCCTCCTTTTCTTGTTTTCTTTTTTTTTTCCTTTTGGATCAACATGTGACCAAATCAGCTATAAACCAGAACATTTCAAGTCTCAACAATAGAAAACATTAACTTATTCAACAAAGATTTTGTAGCAATGGCGAAAAACAGTATGCTGTTCTGTCCCAAGTTGGAATTATTGTTTGTGGGTTTTACAGTCCTTGCGGGACGCCTGGTAAAATAACATAAAACAAGAGGGGGAACAAAAGCCTGTGATGAAATGCAGCGTTTCACAACATAACCCCCAAAATGTTGAACTCTTTCCTGCACTTACGAGTGAGGGATACATTTTTGGTTCAACCACAGCAGGTTTCCAACCAACGAGACATAATTACATTGTCAATATATCGCTGCTAAAACAATACATCCAGTGGTGGCCTCAAAGCCCCCACTGTTGACCAAACAGTTGACCAAATCCAAAAGTGAAACATGGTGAAAACGTGACCCCCTTTCGACACTTTCATTTCCGTTTCTGAATGTTTTTAGGGAAAACCAATGGCGCTCCGAGACAGGCTGACCTCATTTAGCCTTTTGCTTGTGTCAATCCGGTCACAGAAAGGTCACGTTGAGACGATGGCGCGGAGATGGAGTGCCGAGAGTAGTCACAAGAAGTGTCATCGATCACTACGGGTCTGGCTACGCGACCATCTGGGCCTGCGTCAATGTACATCAAGGCGAGGATCCCTTGACAGAGTTTTGCTCCGGTGCCAGTAAAAACCCAATTTGGCTGGAGTTGCGCTATGTTCGCTCACGGCCCATCTGGGATCGATTAGGTCTGCATGAAAGCGTGTAGCAGAGAGTGCACGGGGGACATGGAGACGCAAAGATAACCCCTGAACATATTAATGTAACTTCACCATTTAAAAAAAAAAAAAAAAAAACAAGGGGAGGGGGTGGGGGGTGCATATGGCAATGTTTATGACAATCATGGTCGGAGCATGGAGAGTCCAGTTCCCAGAAAGACCGAACCCGACCTAGAAAACATGAAACTAGAAAGTTGAGTTCTATAACGCGCTTGAGGTTTGGTCGAATGAATATTCGGACACAAGCTTTGAAGGGTCACTTCACCCAGATGTGCTTGACTGAAAAAAAAAAAGTCTGTCACATGTGGGCCAAAGCCAGAAATGGAATGAATGCAAAATGTCCCCCGTGATCCTCATCTTACCTTTATATCCCAGTACAGCAACGGCGACGGTTAGGAGCGTACACAGCACATAGAGCAAGGCTATGGAGGTTTTCAGCGCCCATTCCTTCTTACACTTCGTGCACTGGGTGCCCTCCTGGATGGCTGTGGAGGGAGGGGTAGGGGTGGGGGGAGGGGATAAAGGCTTTACATTATGGTTTTATATATGGAGAGGTTAACACAAAAAAGTGCGCATTGCGGGGAAAACTTTGTGTCATGACCAAAGGGGTCGACATGAAAAAGCTCCCTTTGGGGCCCTGGGTGGTGAAGGGGTAAGGGGGCACCAAAACAACCTCCTCCCCTCCCACTCGTTGCTTATTTTCATCCATGTGCACCGCGAGAGAAAAAAAAAAAATTAAACAAACCTGATGACCTGCAAGTCATGAAACAGAACGCTAAAAACAACCATGTAGTCTAACTTCGTCATTCTTCTGCTAGAATTAGGAGTGGGATCAACATAAAGGTTTGGGACTTGTGGAACGCGCTTACGGGAACACAGCTGTGGTTCATTTAAGATTCAGGAAGTATGTGTGCGAAGGGGGTCCAGTTTTCATTCACCTGTAACGAAAACTCATTCCACACGCAAAACCTCACCCTACCTCTTGGCTGCTAACCCTACCTCGCTTCAGAAGGTTTGCTGAAGCTAAGGCGGACGATCAACCTCCAGGGGGGGAAAACATGTCCATCCTTCATTTGCCAACAACTGGAGAGTCTAGCAAGACGAGACTTTAGACTTCAACACTGCAAACTCCGCCTTTAAAGTGAACCTAATCCTCACTCCGCATGCCGACCCTAACCTGAGATTCATCTCCTAACCCTTATCTAATCCTGCCTCCTAAACCCTAACCCTAGTGGAGTTAGCAGGACACGATTAGTGACTGCCAAAGCTTTTTGCACCGATACAGTTTAACTCCTATAAAAACAATGCTTTGATTAGCCAACACCGGCCCGTGTTTGCGTTTATAGACGTTGGAAGGAAGTCCATCTCAACCGCATTGCCAACCTGCCAGCCCGGGAGATTTACTGTAAAGACGGAAAAAAAACAGAGCGAGTGAGCGAAAACGGAGGGGAGGGGGGTGAAATGTAATAGCTCATGGTTTTGATTCTTACCCAACTCAAATAACGCCCCCCAATGCTACGCAGTCCAAGGTCGTGATTTGTCACAAGTCCTTGTCCCCTGCTCTAAATTTCTGCAAGCCATCAAATTACGAGACTGATGGGGGATCAAATCGTCATGCCAGTTTTCATTCAAAACAGACGGCGGTGAAATACCGAGCGGGCACGATTGCAGTCAACAGGGAGGACAGAGCTGTCAATCTGGCGTGGCGGCGTGTTATCAGCGGTATCAATCGTCCGCGTGGCGAGTGAGAAAGTGTCAGAAACCGACTCAAATGCTTCATCGCATGACCACGCTCGAGGATCACGGACCAAAACAATTTACACTGACCTCAACTCTCAAAGCTCCAAAATGCTTGCTGGTATTGAAACCCACCACAACCTCTTTAAATTCTATGAACACATATTTATACGTGTAGCGCAGTGCCATGTTGGTGCACCACGATGGGGAACCAGCGGCAATTTATTCATTTTGGTCAAAAGGGTTGAACAAAGAAACACCAAAACTGAATTTCGAAGCATGTTTCCGAGGACACGGAAATTCCAGGATAGGACTCCTGGAATTCCAGGGTGACCTCTAAGCAGCAACACCGACGAAATAGTTTTCACCTTTGTCACGCGAACAGAGCCGAGATGCCAAATTTCACACGAGATGCCAAACTATCCTGAGCTGAGGTTTGCGTCTCATGATTTTTGGCATTTCTCGGAATTGTGAGTCACAGAGTGCCTCGGGGGTGGGGGTGGGGGGGGGGGGACGGACGACATAAACGGGACAAGTTGCATCTTTCTTTTCATCAGGATTTGTGCCAAAATGTGGAAGGTTCTACCGCCAACCAAAGCTTCTAACCCGAAACCTGCCACCGAATACCACGGTGATGGAATGTTGTCTTTCGGTTTAAGGAGAACGCCGCAATATGCCAAAGAGAGTGTTTTGTCCACTTCGAAGCCAAAATGTAATCGTTCTGCCTTCTACCCGTTTCATAAAATATACGTGAGAATCAATTGCGTCGTTCCTGGTTCATCAACTACACAACAAATGAACAAGTGACATCAAAGACAACCTCCTCGGTCAAGTTGTTCTGGTCAGGATTGGCCCCAGAAATGCGGGGGGAAAAAAAAAGAGGCCTCTAAGATTAAAACGCGACGTTTATTTACTGTAAATAGCGGTCAGGGTTTCCGTGGTGACAAATGGGAACGCAAAGTGGTGAGGTCACACGCTCACGGCTTCCCTTTTCACGCCCTCGACAGACTTCCAGGAACCACAGATTGACTCCAAAAGGACAAGTCAATGAATTAAGGCCGCCATCACAATGAAAAGTAATTGAATTAGCTCGTCAACGTCCAGTCCGTCTTCATGCAACCTCATTACCCCAACTTGGGGGGGGGAATGCGCAACATTCAGGCTTCAATCTGCTGCCAAGTTTGTGAGGCGGTGGGGTGCCACAGAGGCTCCCGTGACTCATACACCTCCCAGTTTTCTCGCCCACACGGCAGAGCTGCCCTGCGCCGCCTCACGATGGCATGTCCGCATTTGCGTGTGCGCTCATCGAATCGAATCGGTGACTTTCAGTGACCCTGAAGTGCAGCCACTCTTGAAAAAACCAACTCCAAACAAAGAGGATTTCCGTGTGGACCTTGTAAATGTTAAAAAAAATAACCTGACGGCCTTCCAGGACGATGTGTTCGATCTAGATTATAATCAGGGATTGTTTTAGCGTCTCTGCCTCGTGGTTTCTGAGGCTCTGGGTCTGACTCTCTGGTCAGAGCTTCTTTTGTGCGGTTGACGTCAATGAAGCAGAATCAACCGATTGTGACGCTATTGTGGGTTAATGATGATGATTTACAGGGCAGCGCGGTACGTTAGTGGTTAGCGTGACTGCCACACACTTCTCAGGTTCGCCGTTTGAATCGCTTCCTGTCATGATTTGTGTTTTGGTGGCCTTTTGTTTGGATTCAATTTAAAAAAAAACGGTGACCATGATATTGCAAAAACACAAGGTTCGCTCCCCGGGATTCTCAGCTTCTCCCCCCAGTGTTGGCGTGTGCAATTAACACATTTCTTTTTACCTGCCAATGACACAACAAGAGGAAGTGCGAAATTAGGGCCAAAATTCCTCAGAGTTCATGGGACGACTCTGGGGCCTTGGTGCGAAAAAAAAAAAAAAACACACACACACACACACACACACACACACACAACTTCATGTGTGGCTTTCTTTATTAAGCGTGATGGAAACCAAACGCCTCCATCATGCGGTCCTGCGGTTGCGAGTGAGCGTCACCAAAAAAGCCGCCAGAGAGCGGGGATTTAAGGAGGGCTTTTTTTTTTGTTGTTTTTTGTTTAATCGCTGGAAGGTGAGAAATAGGAGCACTGTGATGGATGAGCTGTTGAGGCCTCTTATATTTCGCCAAAGGAGTCCGTTCAAGATTGACATCATCCAGTTGAGAAATGAGGAAGACAAGAACGAGGGCTTTTTGACAGGCCATGTCAAACATGAGGCTGAAAAACATCAATGCAGTTTCACATAGAGAGCAGCAGAATGCTAAAGACGTTGAGAGAGAAAAAAAGCCAAAAATGAGACACCAATTGGGTGTATGCTCCTCGACGACCAACTAACTCGACCAACTAACTCCACTAATGAGAAGGAAATATCCACATGAGGGTACGCTGGGGGGAACGTTTCTTCTCAATTGGCTCCTTCTACAGCCAGTTTGACAAACTCGTCGATCGCCTAGGCTACCCTCGGGCCAGGGGGCCTCGTTGGGCTCTGCAAAGATTCCGAAAGACAAACAGGCCGACTTTCCAAAGAACTACATCAACAGTGCAGTTGGGATAGGTGTGTGTGTGTGTGTGTGTGTGTGTGTGTGTGTGTGTGTGTGTGTAGCCTGCTGGCTAATAACCGCCTCATTAGCATCTGGAAAAATGATAGTAACGGATGTCATGCGACACCAACGAAAAGAGGTCAGCATAAAAGCAGGAATCGGGAAGATTTAATCCTCTAAAAACAACACAATTCAAACGCCGCTGTTCTTCCGACAGCTTACACTCAAACTTTGATAAAGAAGTGTTTAACTTTCAGCTGCGAGCGCCTGGAAAAAAAAAAAAAAACACCATCTCAAAGGCAGCGTTCCCCGATCCAACAGTGAAAAATCTCCCAATGCGGTCCAAGCCGAGGCAAGTGCTTCAAAGTAAAATAAACATCTCCGTGTCACTCGATGGAGTAATGCTGAAATAAAATAAATAACATCTTCCCTCTGATGAGCAGCTGGGATAATAAAACCCGACCTCCTCCCCACCGAAAAACGGAATTCACGGCATGTCTTTCTCTGCCTGGCTTGGCTGTCGGAAACATTTGGGCATGGAGGAGAACATTTATTCTTCCGATGGTGTTCACAATGTAGAAGCTTCTTGACTCTCAGACTGAATTGGACAGGACTTTACGTTGATCTGTCCCTTAAAAAAAGGGGAGCATCGTACCCCGCTAGGCACATAAGCATTTTTGGGCCCTGGAAAAATGACGACCAAGTTCCCTCGGCGTCCAATAATTAGTCCTCGGGGGAGAAGAACAGAAACAGGCTCCTACTCTATCTTGATTTCTGACAGCATGGTATTTGGTATTTAAGATATGGCGTTAAAATAGCCGACGCTCATCTTCGTGCTTCATGTTCGTCCGCCGAAATGTAAACATGCCAAGTTACAGTTCCTTTCCTGCTGCGAAAATCCAGGAAGTCATAATAAGGTCACGCAGAGTTCTGTCAAAGTGAATCGTACATAATGAACTGCAGACAGCTGAGACACGGTTGTTTGTAGTTCCGGACATATCGATAAGTTATTCCGTGGCAGATAAGACAAAAGCGAAGTAAGACTTTAAAGCAATATGGAGTAGGACATTACTGGAACAGGAACCCTCCCTCCCTCCTCCCCCGAAAACTGTTTCTCCAAGGTGGAAGCCGAAATGTAGTGTCAAGATGAAGAATTAAGTTCTATG